GGTGAGGAAAATTGGGAACTTTCCCCAGGGTTAATCCCCAGATTCCCCTGCCAGGCTCAATCCCAGGTGAGATCCCCTTTCTCTGCCCACTGTTTCCTCCTCATCTCATTTTTCCCCTTTTTTCCCCTCATTTCCACCACCTTCCCGGGCTGGGGTCACCCCAAAACCCTACAAATTTAGGAAAAGGCTTTGCAAACCTCTTTAACCCTGGCAGGTGAGGAAAATTGGGAACTTTCCCTGGGGTCAATCCCCAAATTTTTCTGCCAGGCTTAATCCCAGGTGAGATCTCCTTCACCCTCTCCTCCCTGTTTCTTCCTCATCTCTTTTTCCCCTTTTCCCCTTCATTTCCACCCCAAAACCCCACAAACTTTAGGAAAAGGTTTTCAAACCTCCTTAGCCCTGGCAGGTGAGGAAAATTGAGAACTTTCCATGGGGTCAATCCCCAAATTCCCCTCCAATTTTCCAGCCCATGGGACAGGTGTGATCCCCTTTCTCTGCCCACTGTTTCCTCCTCATCTCATTTTTCCCCTTTTTTCCCCTCATTTCCACCACCTTCCCGGGCTGGGGTCACCCCAAAACCCCACAAATTTAGGAAAAGGCTTTGCAAACCTCTGTAACCCTGGCAGGTGAGGAAAATTGGGAACTTTCCCTGGGGTCAATCCCCAAATTTTTCTGCCAGGCTCAATTCCAGGTGAGATCCCCCTTCTCCACTCTCTTCCCCCCTGTTTCCTCCTCAGCTCTTTTTCCCCTTTTCCCCTTCATTTCCACCCCAAAACCCCACAAACTTTAGGAAGAGGCTTTGCAAACCTCCTTAGCCCTGGCAGGTGAGGAAAACTGGGAACTTTCCCCGGGGTCAATCCCCAAATTCTCCTGCCAGGCTCCATCCCAGGTGAGATCCCCTTTCTCTGCCCACTGTTTCCTCCTCATCTCATTTTTCCCCTTTTTTCCCCTCATTTCCACCACCTTCGTGGGCTGGAGTCACCCCAAAACCCCATGAACTTTAGAAAAAGGCTTTGCAAACCTCTTTAACCCTGGCAGGTGAGGAAAATTGGGAACTTCCCATGGGGTCAATCCCCAAATTCCCCTCCAATTTTCCAGCCCATGGGAGAGGTGAGATCCCCTTTCTCTGCCCCATTTCCTCCTCATCTCTTTTTCCCCTTTTCCCCCCCATTTCCCCCACCTTCCCGGGCATCCCCCTCCCCTCTGCCTGTCCCTCTGTCCCCCCCCTGTCCATTCTTCCTGCCTGACACGCTCACAAAGCCCCTGGACGAGCTTTCAAAGGGGCAACTCATGCGGAAGAATCGCTGCCCCCTGAGCCCCTCCCGGCTCCGAACCCGACCCGGCGCTGTTCCCAGCGGGGTGAGGGGCTCCCACTCCCCCAGACCCCCTTGTTTGGGCCGATTCCCCGCCCTTCCAAGGGGGAAGGAGCCCCCCGTTCCCAGCGCCACCCAGTTTGTGGTGGTTTCTCCTGCCAGGTGTCCGTGTCACCCTCGGGGTTTTGGGGACAGGGAGGGGTGGGAGTGGATGGGCTCAGGATGGAGATGGAGTTGGGGGGCAGGACAGGGACCAGGGGGATGGCAGTGGGTAGGTTTGGGATGGTGGAGATGGAGTTGGGGGGCAGGACAAGCACCAGGAGTGGGGGGACAGGATGGTGACCAGGGCTTGGGGACAGAATGGTGGCACCAGGTGGGGGCGGGACTGGCTCCTGTCCGTGTCACCCTCGGGGTTTTGGGGACCAGGGAGGGTGGGAATGAATGGGCTCAGGATGGAGATGGAGTTGGGGGGCAGGACAAGCACCAGCAATGGGGGGACAGGATGGTTGAGGTGGATTTGGGGACAGAAGGGTGGCCCTGCACTGGCTCCTGTCCATGTCACCCTCTGGGTTTTGGGGACCAGAGGGGTGGGAATGGATGGGTCCAGGATGGGGGAGATGGAGTTGGGGAGCAGGACAGGGACCAGGAATGGGGGGACAGGATGGTGACCGGGGCTTGGGGACAGAATGGATGGCATCGGGTGGGGGGGGGGGACTGGCTCCTGTCCGTGTCACCCTCAGGGTTTTGGGGACCAGAGGGGTGGGAATGGATGGGCCCAGGATGGAAATGGAGTTGGGGGGCAGGACAAGCACCGTGGATGGGAATGGAGTGGAGGGACAGGATGGTGACCAGGGATTGGGGACAGAATGGTGGCACCAGGTGGGGGGGGGGACTGGCTCCTGTCCGTGTCACCCTTGGGGTGTTGGGGATCAGAGGGGTGGGAATGGATGGGCTCAGGATGGGGAAGATGGAATTGGGGGACAGGACAAGCACCAGGAGTGGGGGGACAGGATGGTTGAGGTGGATTTGGGGACAGAAGGGTGGCCCCAGGTGGTGGCTTCTCCCACTCCTGTCCGTGTCACCCTCGGGGTTTTGGGGACCAGAGGGGTGGGAATGGATGGGCCCAGGATGGAAATGAATGGAGATGGGGTTGGGGGCAGGACAAGGATGGTGAGTGGGGGGACAGGGTGGGGACCAGGGGGTTGGGGACCGAAGGGTGGCCCCAGGTGGGAGCGGGGCCCCACAGGCAGCGATCGCCCTGGGCTGGGCTGGGCTGGGCTGGGCCCCGTGGCTGCGTGGGTGGGACAGGGCAGGGTGGGGACCCGCGGGCAAGGCAGGGCTGGGTGGGACCTGCGAATGCTGGAGAATCCCTGGGAAGGGAGGAGGGAGGGAGCCAGGTCTGGTCCTTGGCCCGGGAGTGGTTCCGGCTGTGCCCTCGCTTTTCCAATTCATGGAATCCCAGAACTCCAGAATGGTTTGGGCTGGAAGGAACCTCAAAGTCACATTCTGACCCCTCACCATAGGCAGGGACACCTTCCACTACCCCAGGTCACTCCAAGCCCCATCCAGCCTGGCCTTGGACACTTCCAGGACTCATAGGGAGGAATTTCTTCAAAATAACCCCAAATCTCGCTGGTTTTTGTTTAAATCCAGGTTCCAAAGGAACTTTAAAGTCACGTTCTGACCCCTCACCATAAACAAGGACACCTTGCACTATCCCAGGTTGCTCCAAGCCCTGTCCAGCCTGGCCTTGGACACTTACAGGACTCACAGGGAGGAACTTCTTCCCAATATCCCCAAATCTCGCTGGTTTTCGTTTAAATCCAGGTTCCAAAGGAACTTTAAAGTCACGTTCTGACCCCTCACCGTAAACAAGGACACCTTGCACTATCCCAGGTTGCTCCAAGCCCCATCCAGCCTGGCCTTGGACACTTCCAGGATTCCAGGGGCAGCCACAGCTTCTGTGGGCACCCTGTGCCAGGGCCTGCCCACCCTCCCAGGGAGGAATTTCTTCCCAAAATCCCCAAATCTCGCTGATTTCAGTTCAAATCCAGGTTCCAGAAGGAACTTTAAAGTCAGTTCTGACCCCTCACCATAGGCAGGGACACTTTCCACTATCCCAGGTTGCTCCAAGCCCTGGCCTTGGACACTTCCAGGACTCCAGGGGCACCCTGTGCCAGGCCATCCCCACCCTCCCAGGGAGGAATTTCTTCAAAATATCCCCAAATCTTGCCGATTTCATTTTAAATCCAGGTTCCAGAAGGAACCTTAAAGTCATGTTCTGACCCCTCACCATAAGCAAGGACCCCAGGTTGCTCCAAGCCCTGGCCTTGGACACTTCCAGGACTCCAGGGGCAGCCACAGTTTCTCTGGGCACGCTGTGCCAGGGCATGCCCACCCTCCAAAGGATGATTTTCTTCCCAAAATCCCCAAATTTCGCCGATTTTTGTTTAAATCCAGGTTCCAAAGGAACCCTAAAGTCGCATTCTGACCCCTCACCATAGGCAGGGACACCTTGCACCATCCCAGGTTGCTCCAAACCCTGGCCTTGGACGCTTCCAGGACTCCAGGGGCAGCCACAGCTTCTCTGGGCACGCTGTGCCAGGGCCTGCCCACCCTCCCAAGGATGATTTTCTTCCCAAAATCCCCAAATTTCGCCAATTTTTGTTTAAATCCCATTCCAGAAGGAACCTTAAAGTCACATTCCAACTCCTCAACACAGACAGGGACACCTTGCACTATCCCAGGTGGCTCCAAGCCCGATCCAGCCTGGCCTTGGACACTTCCAGGACTCCAGGGCACCCTGTGCCAGGCCATCCCCACCCTCCCAAGGAGGAATTTCTTCAAAATATCCCTAAATCTCACGGATTTTTGTTTAAATCCAGGTTTGAAAGGAACCCTAAAGTCGCATTCTGACCCCTCACCATAGGCAGGGACACCTTGCACTATCCCAGGTTGCTCCAAACCCTGGCTTTGGACACTTCCAGGACTCCAGGGGCAGCCACAGCTTCTGTGGGCACGCTGTGCCAGGGCATGCCCACCCTCCCAAGGATGATTTTCTTCCCAAAATCCCCAAATTTCGCCGATTTTTGTTTAAATCCCACTCCAGAAGGAACCTTCAAGTCACATTCCAACTCCTCAACACAGACAGGGACACCTTCCACTATCCAATGTTGCTCCAAGCCCGATCCAGCCTGGCCTTGGACACTTCCAGGACTCCAGGGCACCCTGTGCCAGGCCATCCCCACCCTCCCAAGGAGGAATTTCTTCCCAAATATCCCCAAATCTCACGGATTTTTGTTTAAATCCAGGTTCCAAAGGAACCTTAAAGTCACGTTCTGACCCCTCACCATAAGCAAGGACCCCAGGTTGCTCCAAACCCTGGCCTTGGACGCTTCCAGGACTCCAGGGGCAGCCACAGTTTCTCTGGGCACGCTGTGCCAGGGCCTGCCCACCCTCCCAAGGATGATTTTCTTCCCAAAACCCCCAAATTTCGCCGATTTTTGTTTAAATCCAGTCCCGGGCAGTGGGGGGGGGGTCCCGCGTGCTGTGGCGCCCCCTGGCGGCCGAACCCAACCTCTCCCTCTCCCCCAGGTCCCGGTGTCGCCCCCCAGGTCCCGGTGTCGCCTCCCGGGCCCCTCCACCCCCCCGATGTCCCCCTGAGCCACCCCCGCGCCCTATCGCGACATGTTCGACCCCTCTGGACCCCCGGCCGCCGGCTACAGCGAGCACTGCTGCCTGCACCCCCCGCACGGAGCAGCCCCCGCCGCCCCGGGACCGCCAGGTGGGTCATGGGGGGGCTCCAGGACCCCCCCGAGGTCAGGGGGGCTCCGGGGGTCTCTGTCCCACCCCCGGCTCAGCTCTGCTCCCTCCTCCAGGGCTGGATTTCCCCGTGTGCCACCAGCCCGGGCAGCGCGGCTATGGGCTGGCCCCAGGAGCTGAACACGCCGGGGATGGTGAGTCTCGGGTTTTGGGGGGCTGCGGGGCAGGGGGGAATGCCCAGAGGGGTGAAACATCTCTGTGCTCCAAATCCGGTGTGAACTGACACACCCAGGGCACTCCTGCATCCTCCAAGCGCCAGGTTTGTGTCCTTGGGGTGTCTCCAGCTCCCCAAAACCGTGCTGAGGGAAATTTTGGGGCACCATGGGGTAGGAGGGATTCCTTAGAGGGGGTTAAACACCTCTCCATTCCAAATCTAAAGTGAACTGGCACACTCGGGGCACTCCTGCAGCCTCCAAACACCAGGTTTGTGTCCTTGGGGTGCCTCCATGCCCCCTGGACCACACTGAGGGCAGTGCCCCCTGCTCTGCCCCCCATCTTGGGGCACCATGGGGCAGGGGGGATTCCCTAGAGGGGTTAAACATCTGTGTTCTAAATCCAAAGCACACTCAGGGCACTCCTGCAGGCTCCAAACACCAGGTTTGTGTCCTTGGGGTGCCCCCTGGACCATACTGAGGGCAGTGTCCCCCGCTCTGCCCCCAATTTTGGGGCACCATGGGGCAGGAGGGATTCCACAGAGGGGGTTAAACATCTCTCATTTGTAAATCCAAAGTGAACTGGCACACTCGGAGCACTCCTGCAGCCTCCAAGCGCCAGGTTTGTGTCCTTGGGGTGCCCCCAGCACCCCTGGACCACACTGAGGGCAGTGCCCCCTGCTCTGCCCCCGATTTTGGGGCACCATGGGGCAGGGGGGATTCCCTAGAGGGGGTAAACATCTGTGTTCTAAATCTAAAGCACAACTGGGACATTCCTGCAGCCTCCAAACACCAGGTTTGTGTCCTTGGGGTACCCCCAGCCCTCCTGGACCACACTGAGGGCCGTGCCCCCTGCTCTGCCTCCGGTTTTGGGGGGCAGGGGGGATTCCCTAGAGGGGTCAAACATCTCTCAGTTCTGTGTGAACTGGCACACTCAGGGCACTCCTGCAGCCTCCAAACACCAGGTTTGTGTCTTTGGGGTGCCCCCAGCCCCTCTGGATCATACTGAGAGCAGTGCCCCCTGCTCTGCCCCCAGTTTTGGGGGGCTGTGGGGCTGAAGGGAATCCACAGAGGGGGTTAAACATCTCTCATTTGTAAATCCAAAATGAACTGGCACACTCGGAGCACTCCTGCAGGCTCCAAACACCAGGTTTGTGTGTTTGGGGTGCCTCCATGCCCCCTGGACCATACTGAGGGCAGTGTCCCCCGCTCTGCCCCCAATTTTGGGGCACCATGGGGCAGGGGGGATTCTGTGGAGCGGTTAAACATCTCTCAGTTCTGTGTGAACTGGCACACTCAGGGCACTCCTGCAGCCTCCAAACACCAGGTTTGTGTCCTTGGGGTGCCCCAGCCCCTCTGGACCACACTGAGGGCAGCGCCCCCGCTCTGCCCCCAATTTTGGGGTGCCATGGGGCAGGGGGGATTCCTTAGAGGGGTTAAACATCTGTGTTCTAAATCCAAAGCACACTCAGGGCATTCCTGCAGCCTCCAAACACCAGGTTTGTGTCTGTGGGGTGCTCCCAGCCCCTCTGGATCATACTGAGGGCCGTGCCCCCTGCTCTGCCCCCGGTTTTGGGGCACCATGGGGTAGGAGGGATTCCCTAGAGGGGGTTAAACGTCTCTCAGTTGTAAATCCAAAGCACACTTGGGGCACTCCTGCAGCCTCCAAACACCAGGTTTGTGTCCTTGGTGTGCCTGCAGCCCCTCTGGACCACACTGAGGGCATTGCCCCCGCTCTCTCCCCCTCAGGCTCCCGGTTCTCCACGCCCCGAGGCGCAGGGAAGCTGAGCAAGAAGCGAGCCCTGTCCATCTCGCCCCTGTCCGACTCCAGCATCGACCTGCAGACCGTGATCCGCACCTCGCCCAACTCCCTCGTGGCTTTCATCAACTCCCGCTGCGCCTCCTCTGGCGGCTCCTACGGTCACCTGTCCATCAGCACCATCAGGTGGGCACTGCCCTGGCCCCTCTGGCACCTCCTGGTGTGGGAATCTACAGAATCAGAGGGTTTGGGGAAAGCTGCAAAAGGCAGGGCTCACATACAGCAGAACTGTGAGCAGAGCTAAAGCAGCCATGAGATAGGACAGCAGAAAAATTATTTAAACTGTAGGAAAAGCAAAGGCAAATAGAACAATGGCCTGTGTATTAACACTTGTCTGAATAGCTCTCTAAGCTGCAGAAAGTTTATCTAGCAAGATATTAGGAAAGTTAAAGGTTAATAATGGAGCTCTGTGCGTTGTGTTTTAAGGCTCACAAGCAGGTATTGTATTCAAAATAAGCAAGCATTGTTTTAACCAAAGGTACCTGTGCTTATGGTGATTGGATAGAACTACTGTCAATGTGCTTTTGCTTTGTGGGATTGGTCACAAAGCTTATAAAGTCAGTTATAACATTGAGTTTTTAGTCTGCTGCCTGGATTGTGAGCTGCTGGCATCTTCCCTTTGTCATAACCATGCAATGAGACTGATGCTGGAAAATCAAACAGCTCGAGGCCTTTCAGCAGTTTGTAAATAACCCCCCCTTGCCAGTGCCCATTCACACCTTTGGGAGCAGCGTGGGGTGGTGGGGAAGGGATGGTTGGGATTCCAGATCTCTGTTCTCATCTGCTGATGGTGTCACCTGCTCTCCACAGCCCCTCCCTGGGGTACCAGAGCCCACCTGGGCAGCACAAGGGCCAAGGGCACCTGTACACACCAGCCCCAGCCTGCAGCTCCCACGAGGTGCCCACACGGCCGGGGCTGCTGCAGCACCCACCTGCTCGAGGGGCACTGAAACACTGCCAGGTATGGGGGGAATGTGAAAAAGGGGCACTGAAACACTGCCAGGTATGGGGGAAATGTGAAAACAGGCACTAAAACACTGCCAGGTATGGGGGGAATGGGAGAGGAACCCTAAAACACTGCCAGGTATGGGGGGAAATGGGAGAGAAACCCTAAAACACTGCCAGGTATGGGGGAAATGTGAAAAAGGGGCACTGAAACACTGCCAGGTATGGGGGATCTGTGAGAGGAACCATAAAACACTGCCAGGTATGGGGGAAATGTGAGAGAAACCCTGAAACACTGCCAGGTATGGGGGATCCATGAGAGAGGGATCCCTGAGAGGGATCTGTGTGAGAGGGGATCCCTGTGACTGGGATCCATCTGAGTGGGGTTCCATGTGATTGGGGTTCCCTGTGAGGGGGATTCCATGTGAAAAAGGATCCCTGTGAATGGGGTTCCAATGTAACTGGGGATCTGTGTGAGTGGGGTTCCATGTAATTTGGGATCTGTGAGTGGAGTTCCTTGTGAAAGAGGATCCCTTTTAGTGGGGCTCCAATGTAATTGGGGATCCCTGTGAGTGGAGGTCCCTGTGATTGGGGTTCCCTGTAATTGGGGATCCCTGTGAGTGGGGTTCCATGTAATAGGGGATCCCTGTGAGTGGAGGTCCCTGTGATTGGGGTTCCAATGTAATTGGGGATCTGTGAGTGGGGTTCCATGTAACTGGGGATCTGTGAGTGGGGTTCCTTGTGAAAGAAGATTTCTTTTAGTGGGGTTCCCTGTAATTGGGGTTCCCTGTAACTGGGGATCCCTGTGAGTGGGGTTCCATGTGAAAGAAGATTTCTTTTAGTGGGGTTCCCTGTAACTGGGGATCCCTGTGAGTGGGGTTCCATGTGAAAAGGGGTCCCTGTAATTGGGGTTCCCTGTAACTGAGGATCCCTGTGAGTGGGGTTCCATGTGAGCCATGTCCATGTGAGCTGTGCATCCCTGTAAGTCCTGTTCCAGTGCCCATCTCCCTGCTGACTCCCTCCCCCTTCCCTGCCCTGGCAGCAGCTGAAGCTGGAGTGGAGCCTGAGCAGCCCCCTGAGTGCCAAATTCCCAGAGGAGCGATCTGAGGGTGACATCTCCAGCCCAGCATCCACGGGCACCCAGGTACATCCCTGACCATCAGATCCCCCCTCCCAACGCCCTGGCAGTCACCCTGGGAGTGCTCACCTGCCCCTGCCCCCCAGGAGCCCTTGCTGGGCATGCTGGATGTCCGGGAGGAGCTGGAGAAGGAGGATGGCAAAGCCGAGTGTGAGGCTGTGTATGAGACCAACTGCTACTGGGACGGCTGTGCCAAGGAGTTCGACACCCAGGAGCAGCTGGTGCACGTGAGTCAGGGGCTGCCAAGGTGCTGCCAGCCCAAAATCTGCCCTCAGGCTGCTGGGCAGCATCTCCCTGGATCAGCTCGTGATTCCCACTCCCAGGTCCCATCCACCTCTGGGGACTCACCAGGAGGGATGAGCATCCCCCAGGTCTCCTCAGCCACTGGTGCTTCCAGATCCCTCCTCTGCTCCAGCTTTCCTCCCTCCAACTCTCCCATATCCCCTGACCATCCTTTGGACTCCTCTGGCTGCTCTTGGATGTCCCAGAGTATCCCTCAAACATCGCCTGCATTCTGGGCCTCCTCCAAACACCACCTGGGCTGTTCTCCCCCAGACTCTGCTGTCTGCACCTGCCATCCCAGTCCCTCTATGTCCCTTTGTCCCATCCCAGTCTGTCCATGTCCCTTTGTCCCATCCCAATCTCTCCTGTATCCCCTTCTCCCATCCCAGTCCCTCCATCCCCTTTCTCCCATCCCAGTTTCTCCTGTATCTCTTTCTCTCCTTCCAATCCCTCCATCCCCTTTCTCCCATCCCAATCTCTCCTGTATCCCTTTCTCCTATCCCTATCCCAGTTTCTCCTGTGTCCCTTTCTCCCACCCCATTCCTCTCTCAATCCCTCCAACCCCTTTCTCCCATCCCAGTCCCTCCATCCCCTTTCTCCCATCCCAGTTTCTCCTGAGTTTTTTTTCTCCCATTCTTCCATCCCAGTCTCTCCTGTATCCCTTTCTCCTCTTCCAATCCCTCCATCCCCTTTCTCCCATCCCAGTTTCTCCTGGGTTTTTTTTCTCCCTTTTTCCCATCCCAGTCTCTCCTGTATCCCTTTCTCCTCTCCCAATCCCTCCATCCCCTTTCTCCCATCCCAGTTTCTCCTGGGTTTATTTTCTCCCTTTCTCCCATCCCAGTCTCTCCTGTATCCCTTTCTCCTCTCCCAATCCCTCATCCCCTTTCTCCCATCCCAGTCCCTCCATCCCCTTTCTCCCATCCCAGTTTCTCCTGAGTTTTTTTTCTCCCTTTCTCCCATTCCAGTTTCTCCTGAGTTTTTTTTCTCCCTTTCTCCCATCCCAGGTTCTCCTGGGTTTATTTTCTCCCTTTTTCCCATCCCAGTTTCTCCTGTATCCCTTTCTCCCATCTCAGTCTGACCATGTCCCTTTCTCCCATCCCAGTTTCTCCTGTATCCCTTTTTCCCACCCCACTCCTCTCCCAATCCCTCCATCCCCTTTCTCCCATCTCAATCTCTCCTATATCCCCTTCTCCCATCCCAGTCCGTTCATGTCCCTTCCTGCCATCCCAGTCTCTCCTGTATCTCTTTCTCCTCTCCCAATCCCTCATCCCCTTTCTCCCATCCCAGTCCCTCCATCCCCTTTCTCCCATCCCAGTTTCTCCTGGGTTTTTTTTCTCCCTTTCTCCCATCCCAGTCTCTCCCGTATCCCTTTCTCCTCTCCCAATCCCCCATCCCCTTTCTCTCCTTCATCCCCCATCCCTTTCCCCCCTCCCCAGTGCCCCCAGTGACGCTGCCCTCCCTCCCCAGCACATCAACAACGAGCACATCCACGGTGAGAAGAAGGAGTTCGTGTGCCACTGGGCAGCGTGCTCACGGGAGCAGAGGCCCTTCAAGGCTCAGTACATGCTGGTGGTGCACATGAGGCGCCACACGGGGGAGAAACCTCACAAGTGCACGGTGAGATGCCAAAAAACTCCCCCCAAAATCCTGCCTGGGCTGGGAGAATGAGGGGTGTCTCAGTTTGGAAAGGGAGGGGTGTGCTAAGGAAGGCAGGAGCCTCCCCTGAAATGGAAAATGGGAACCCCCTCCCTCTGAATTATTATAAATTTGAAATCAAGGGGCTTTTAGGCAAAGATATGGGAGCAGGAATAAGAGTTTGTCTTGGTTTGGAAAGGAAGGTGTGTGCTAAGGAAGGCAGGAGCCTCCCCTGAAATGGAGAATGGAAACTCCCTCTCTCCAAATTGTTATAAATTTGAAATTAATTAATTAATTAATTAATTGTTATAAATTTGAAATTAAGGGGCTCTCAGGCAAAGATATGGGAGTAGGAATAAGGAATAAGTTTGTCTTGGTTTGGAAAGTCAGGTGTCTGCTAAGGAAGGCAGGAGCCTCCCCTGAAATGGAAAATGTGAACCCCCTCCCTCCAAATTATTATAAATTTGAAATTAAGGGGCTCTCAGACAAAGATATGGGAGCAGGAATAAGTTTGTCTTGGTTTGGAAAGAGAGGTGTGTGTGCTAAGGAAGGCAGGAGCCTCCCCTGAAATGGAAAATGGGAACCCCCTCCCTCTGAATTATTATAAATTTGAAATGAATTAATTGTTATAAATTTGAAATTAAGGGGCTCTCAGGCAAAGATATGGGAGCTGGAGCCCGGGTGGCAGAAGGGGGTGGCAGAAGGTGGGTACAGGTGTGGGGCTCATGGAATCCTGCAATATTTTGGGTTAGGGGCACCTTAAAGTTCATCCCACCCCACCTTCCACTATCTCAGGCTGCTCCAAGCCCTGCCCAACCTGTCCTTGGACACTTCCAGAGATGGGGCAGCCACAGCTTCTCTGTGCCAGGGCCTGCCCACCCGAAATCCCACCCGAAATCCCACCCAAACCCAGGGTCACAGGGCCCTAAAGCTGCCCCATGCTTTGGGATTTGTTCCTGAATTTAAGTCAGGATTGGTGTTGCTGTCAATGCCAGCTTGGGGACCCTCTGAGGGGCTGCCATGGGACAGGAGGAGGTGGCACAACCCTGGGGTGCAGGGCTGTGCCACGGTGTGAGGCTGGCAGGTGTGTTGGGAGGGGAGATGTGTCACACGTGGGCTGTGGGACGTGTCACCACGTGCTGCGAGCCCTGGGGACAGCGTGTGACACGTCCCACCCTGTCCCACACGCGTGTGACACGTCCCACCCTGTCCCACCCTGTGTGACACGTCCCCATGTCCCACCCGCGTGTGACACGTCCCCATGTCCCACCCATGTGTGACACGTCCCACCCTGTCCCACACGCGTGTGACACGTCCCACCCTGTCCCACATGTGTGTGACACGTCCCACCCTGTCCCACACGCGTGTGACACGTCCCCATGTCCCACCCATGTGTGACACGTCCCACCCTGTCCCACCCGTGTGTGACACGTCCCCATGTCCCACCCATGTGTGACACGTCCCACCCTGTCCCACCCCTGTGTGACACGTCCCACCCTGTCCCATCCCTGTGTGACACATCCCACCCTGTCCCACCCGCGTGTGACACGTCCCACCCTGTCCCACCCTGTGTGACATGTCCCACCCTGTCCCACCCCTGTGTGACACGTCCCCATGTCCCACCCCTGTGTGACACGTCCCACCCTGTCCCACCCCTGTGTGACACGTCCCACCCTGTCCCACCCTGTCCCACCCTGTCCCACCCCCGTGTGACACGTCCCCATGTCCCACCTGTGTGTGACACATCCCACCCTGTCCCACCTGTGTGACACGTCCCACCCTGTCCCACCCGCGTGTGACATGTCCCACCCTGTCCCACCTGTGTGTGACACATCCCACCCTGTCCCACCTGTGTGACACGTCCCACCCTGTCCCACCCCTGTGTGACACGTCCCACCCTGTCCCACCCACGTGTGACACGTCCCACCCTGTCCCACCCGCGTGTGACACGTCCCCCCCTGTCCCACCCGTGTGTGACACGTCCCACCCTGTCCCACCTGTGTGTGACACGTCCCACCCTGTCCCACCCCTGTGTGACACGTCCCACCCTGTCCCACCCCCGTGTGACACGTCCCACCCTGTCCCACCCCCATGTGACACGTCCCACCCTGTCCCACTTGTGTGTGACACGTCCCACCCTGTCCCACCCTGTCCCACCCGTGTGTGACACATCCCACCCTGTCCCACCTGCGTGTGACACGTCCCACCCTGTCCCGCCCGCGTGTGACACGTCCCACCCTGTCCCACTCGCGTGTGACACGTCCCACCCTGTCCCACCCTGTGTGACACGTCCCCATGTCCCACCTGCGTGTGACACATCCCACCCTGTCCCACCCGTGTGTGACACATCCCACCCTGTCCCACCCACGTGTGACACGTCCCACCCTGTCCCACCACCTGCGTGTGACACGTCCCACCCTGTCCCACCTGCGTGTGACACGTCCCACCCTGTTCCATCCCTGTGTGACACATCCCACCCTGTCCCACCCATGTGTGACACGTCCCACCCTGTCCCACCCTGTGTGACACATCCCACCCTGTCCCACCCGTGTGTGACACGTCCCACCCTGTCCCACCCGCGTGTGACACGTCCCACCCTGCTCTGCCGCAGTTTGAGGGCTGCAACAAGGCCTATTCCCGCCTGGAGAACCTCAAGACGCACCTGCGCTCGCACACGGGGGAGAAGCCCTACGTGTGTGAGCACGAGGGATGCAACAAAGCCTTCTCCAACGCCTCTGACCGTGCCAAGCACCAAAACCGCACCCACTCCAACGAGGTACGGCCCCACTGGGTGCTCCTGGATCATTCCTGCCCTCTGAGAGCTCCTCACACCCCTGGGCATTGCCCCAGCTCCCTCTTTTCCTGCTTTAAGTATCTCCTTCATCACCCTGGGATCCCTTTAGCCCTCTTACTCGTTCCTCTGCCATCCTGAGCTCACCTCAGTGCCCACCGTGTGCCCTCCACATGGCTTTGATGCCACCCTCAGCTCTCTGCAGAGGGTGGCAAGGGGGGTTTGTTTTGGGGGAGGGGGCTGCAGTTGGAGCTGTCTCCCTCCCTCCTCCATGGCACCAAAACTGCACCCACTCCAACGAGGTATGGCCCCACCAGGGCTCCTCGTGTGCTCCTGGATCATTCCTGTCCTCTGAGAGCTCCTCACACCCCTGGGCATTGCCCCTGTATGCCCAAACTCCCTTTTTTCCTCCTTTAAATATCTCCTTCACCACCCTGGGATCCCTTTACCCCACTCCTGGGCAGTTCCCTCCATCCTCCGCCATCCTGAGCTCACCGTGCACCCTCCACAGGGACTCACCCGCTTCGATGCCACCCTCAGCTCTCTGCAGAGGTTGACAAGAGGGGTTGGTTTTCGGGGAGGGGGCTCCTTCATCACCAGAATTCCCCCTGGGATCCCTTTACCCCACTCCTGGGCAGTTCCCTCCTTTCTCTGCCATCCTGAGCTCACCCCAGTGCCCACCGTGCCCCCTCCACAGGGACTCACCCGCTTTGATGTCACCCTCAGCTCTCTGCAGAGGGTGACAAGGGGGGTTTGTTTTTGGGGAGGGGGCTGCAGTTGGAGCTGTCTCCCTCCCTCCTCCATGCCCATCAGATCCCCCTGGGATCCCTTTACCCCTCTCCTGGGCAGTTCCTTCCATCCTCTGCCATCCTGAGCTCACCCCAGCACCCACCGTGCGCCCTCCACAGGGTCTCACCCACTTTGTTGCCACCCTCAGCTCTCTGCAGAGGGTGACAAGGGGGGTTGGTTTTTGGGGAGGGGGCTCCTTCATCACCAGAATTCCCCCTGGGATCCCTTTACCCCACTCCTGGGCAGTTCCTTCCATCCTCTGCCATCCTGAGCTCACCCCAGTGCCCACTGTGCACCCTCTGTGGGACTCAACCGCTTTGCTGCCACCCTCAGCTCTCTGCAGAGGGTGGCAAGGGGGGTTTGTTTTTGGGGAGGGGGCTGCAGTTGGAGCTGACAGCCTCCATCTTCCATGCCCATCAGATCCCCCTGGGATCCCTTTACCCTTCTCCCAGGGAGTTCCCTCCATCCTCTGCCATCCTGAGCTCACCGTGCACCCTCCATGGGGACTCACCCGCTTTGCTGCCACCCTCAGCTCTCTGCAGAGGGTGACAAGGGGGGTTTATTTTCGGGGAGGGGGCTGCAGCTGGAGCTGTCTCCCTCCCTCCTCCATGCAGAAGCCCTACGTGTGCAAGATTCCCGGCTGCACCAAGCGCTACACGGACCCCAGCTCCCTGCGCAAACACGTCAAGACCGTGCACGGCCCCGACGCCCACGTCACCAAAAAGCACCGGGGGGACGTGGGGCCGGGCCGGGCACTGCCCACCCCCGGTGCCCCCCCGGATATGAAGCAGGAGAAGGAGGCAAACGGCCCCAGCGAGGCTCAGAAGGACGATGGGAAACTCCTGGTGCCTGAGCTGGCCCTGGTGAGTGAGGAGCTGAGGGGGTGGTGGAGGATGGAGGGAGGGTTTGGTGCTGAGGGACAGGAGAAAACAGCCCCAAGATGTTCCAGGGGAGGCTTAGCTTGGATATGAGGGGAAATTTCTTTGTTGTCAGGCGCTGGAATGGGCTGCCCTATGGAATCACCGTCCCTCTTTGGTGAAGTGTCCAAAAAATGCTGGGATGTGGCACTTGGGGACGTGGTTTAGTGGTGAACACGGCAGTGTTGGGTTAATAGCTGGGATCAGTGATCTCAGAGGCTTTTCCAACCTTCATGATGATGCCAAGTGTGTCCTACACCAACACAGCAGGGTGTGGTGGTGTTCACAGGGGTCCCAGGATGAGGGAAAGGATGAGAATCTTGACTCCATGGTTCAGAAGGCTGATTTATTATTTTATGATATATATGATATTAAAGGAAAATGATATATTAAAACTTACTAAAAGAATAGAAGAAGGGATTTCATTAGAAGGCTTAAAAGGAATAGAGAAGAATGACAATAAAATCTTGTGACTGACCAGAGAGTCCGAGACAGCTGGACTGTGATTGGCCATTAATTAAAAACAACCACATGAGACCAATCACAGATGCACCTGTTGCATTCCACAGCAGCAGATAATCAATGTTTACATTTTGTTCCTGAGGCCTCTCAGCTTCTCAGGAGAAATAAATCCTAAGGAGAGGATTTTTCATAAAATATATCTGTGACATTAGTGTTGGGTTAATAGTTGGACTCAGTGATCTCAGAGGCTTTTCCAGCCTTCGTGGTGATTCCAAGTGTGTCCTGGTGTTGGGATCTCTGGCTTATCAGAGTGATCCCAAGAAAAGTTCTAAAGTCTCTTTTCCCAGCCCAGCGCTTGAAGAAGGACCCAGGGCTCTTCATTTCTTGGTCTCAAGGTTTATTATTGTTTATTTTATCTTATCTATAAAAAATTTTCTCCTGCCCTGCCAAGGTCCATCCAGCAGGACAGCTCCAGGCACTCTGCCTGCCCCAGGGCAGGGTTACGTCTTTATACTAAAAATTACATGTACAAGATTTACAATTACTTCCCAACACCTCTCACCTGTGTTAGACAGTGAGCTTCTACTCTAAACCAATCTAAAAGTGCCACCATCACAGCAGAAGATGGAGGCCAAGAAGAAGAAGGAGAAAGGCTGGACACACCAGATCCCTCCATCTTGCCTCCTGAACTCCCAGACCAAAAACCCCAAAATCTACTTTCCCACCCTGTGATAACTTCACTATTATTCCACCTAAACTGTTGTAGCTTGCTGATCTCCATATAAGGTTGGTAATTTGCTCCTTGGGTCATAATCAAACACAGACAGGTGTTTTGGGCTCTGTGCCGGGGCTCCTGAGCCCCCTGGCAGGGGTCTTGGCCATCCTGGCCAGCCAGAGGGATGTTCTGGGTTCCCACATTCTGGGTGCTTGACCCCCTTGGCGCTGCTCTGGTTCTCCCCAGAAGCCCCAGCCCAGCCCAGGGGGGCAGTCCTCGTGCAGCAGTGACCACTCACCCCTGGGCAGCACCACCAACAACGACAGCGGCGTGGAGATGGCAGGAAACGCCGGTGGCAGCTACGAGGACCTGTCCACTCTGGAGGACGTGGTGCCCGGGGAGCCCATGGGCACCTCGGGGCTCATGGCCCTGCACAAGCTGGAGAACCTTCGCATCGACAAACTGAAGCAGCTGAGGAAACCGGCGGCTTCCAAGGGCCTGAACCTGCCACCCATCCCTGGAGCCGGTGAGATTGGGGTGCCTCCCCCCCTGGGATGTGAGGCCTGGCCCGTGGGAGGTGTGTGCAGAGATCTGCTTGGCAGCCAGAGGTTTCCACACCTTGCTGGTCTTAGAATGTCTTGGTTGGGAAAGACAGGAGTCTGCTAAGGAAGGCAGGAGCCTCCCCTGAAATGGAGAATGTGAAACTCCCCCTCCCTCCAAATTGCTATAAATTTGAAATTAAGGGGCTCTCAGGCAAAAAAAATATGGGAGCAGGAAATAACAGTTCTTTAATAGGGAAGAAAATGAAAGGATAAAATAAACAATGCAGTGCACTAGAACAACAGTGCCAGAGTCAGAACCCAGCCTGACACCCTGTGGGTCAGGGTGTTGGTGTCAGTCCAGTTGGAATTGTGGCTCAGCCCTCCTGCAGTGTCAGGGGTGGTTCTGCTGGAGCAAGGGGGATCTGTAGAGAAGGATGGATTCTGCCTCTGGAGATCCAGGGGAAGGAGAGGCAGCTGCTGTTCCTCTGGGGAATCCAGTGGAGAAAGCTGTGCTGGTGTCTCAAAACCTCTGGATTATATCTGGGTAGGAATGTTTGAAATCTCAGATTGTATCCAGGTAGGAATGTTTGAAATCTCAGATTCTATCCGGGTAGGAATGTTTGAAATCTCAGATTGTATCTGAGTAGGAATGTTTGAAATCTCAGATTGTATCCAGGCAGGAATGCTTGGCTCCTCCCTCTGGGCTCACATCTCCCAATGGGATGCTGTAGTTCTTATCAGCCATGCAGGGACATTCCATAGCTGCTATCAGCTGATGTCCCCTCCTGAGGGAGGAGTGATTGTGAGCACTCAAAGAGACAGATAAGGCAAACTGCCCACTTGACAGAAGATAATCTGCCATACAGATGGTAATGGAATACATCCTGCATTGCAGTTTGGAACGTAGAAATGCACCCCAAAATCTGGGGAAATATTAAAGCCCTGAAGGGGTTCCAAGAGAACTGGAGAGGGATTTTGGACAAGGCCTGGAGTGGCAGGACAAGGGGGAATGGCTTCACGTTGGCAAGGAGGGCAGGGTTAGGTGGAATATTGGGAAGAGTTCTTCCCTGGGAGGGTGGGCAGGCCCTGGCACAGGGTGCCCAGAGAAGCTGTGGCTGCCCCATCCCTGGAAGCACCCAAGGCCAGGCTGGAGCAACCTGCTCCAGTGGGAATTGTCCCTGCCCATGGGACAGGGGGGGTCTTCAGGATCCCTCCCAACCCAAACCACTCCATGATTTTTCCAACCCAAATAAGCTTCTGCTGGTCTTTGTTGCCACCTGCCCCCACCAGCTCTAACCATGGAAGAGCCACATCCCAGCTCTGGAGGTGGCTCCTGTCCCTGCTCTGACATTGCCACACTTGTCCTGGGGTAACTCCTCCTTCTCTGTGGTATTTGTGGCGTTCCCAGAGGAAGGAAGGAAAGGAAGGAAAGGAAGGAAGGAAGGAAAGGAAGGAAGGAAAGGAAGGAAGGAAAGGAAGGAAGGAAAGGAAGGAAAGGAAGGAAGGAAGGAAGGAAGGAAGGAAGGAAGGAAGGAAGGAAGGAAGGAAGGAAGGAAGGAAGGAAGGAAGGAAGGAAGGAAGGAAGGAAGGAAGGAAGGAAGGAAGGAAGGAAGGAAGGAAGGAAGGAAGGAAGGAAGGAAGGAAGGAAGGAAGGAAGGAAGGAAGGAAGGAAGGAAGGAAGGAAGGAAGGAAGGAAGGAAGGAAGGAAGGAAGGAAGGAAGGAAGGATCTGACTCCATGTTCTCAGAAAGCTAAAAAACTAAACTACACATATATATATATATACATGTATGTATATATAGTTTAGTTTATATATATATATAATATTTTATATATTATATACAATATATATATATAAAAATATATTTTAAAAAATATATAAACTATAAAACTAAACTATAAAACTAAACTATACTAAAGAATACAGAAAGGATACTTACAGAAAGCTAAAATGATAATAATGAAAAACTCATGGCTCTTTCCAGAGCCTCAACACAACTTGATCCTGATTGGCTAAAAAGTCAAAACAATTTACATGAAACCACACAAATTTCATGGTTTATGAAATGAACCAATGAAACAATCATTGGTAATTTGCTGGTAAACAATGCACAAACACATCCCAAAGCAACAAAACACAGGAGAAGCAAATCAGAAAATTATTGTCTTCCTTTTTCTCTGAGCCGTCTAAGATAATAATGAAAAACTCATGGTTCTTTCCAGAGCTTTGACACCGCTTGATCCTGATTAGCTAATAAGTAAAACAATTTACATGAAACCATGTAAATTTAAGAAATTAACCGATGAAACAATCATTGGTAATTGCTGGTAAACAACGCCCAAACACATCCCAAAGCAGCAAAACACAGGAGAAGCAAATCAGAAAATTATTGTTCTCCTTTTTCTCTGAGCCTTCTCAGCTTCCCCAGAGAAGAATCCTGGGCAAAGAGGATTTTTCAGAAAATATGACCGTGACAGAAAATTTTTTCAGAAAACATGACTGTGACAGAAAATGTGTCAGAGAACATGACTGTGACAGAAAATGTGTCAGAGAACATGACTGTGACACTTCTCTCCCGCAGGCCTGCCCGGGGAGGTGCCACCCCCGGCCTCTCACCGCCGCATCGCCGAGCTGTCGGCGGCCGAGCTGGGCCTGGCGGCGCCGGGCGAGCGCCGCAGCAGCGGCACCAGCACCGTCAGCTCTGCCTATACCGTCAGCCGCCGCTCGTCCCTGGTGTCCCCGTACCTGTGCCCGGGCGGTGACGCCACGGCGATGCCCGGCGGGCCGTGCCCGGTGGACGGTTACGGTGCCGCCTCTCCGGATGAGTCGCGGCGCTCCGGTGATGCCGGGGGGCTGCCGGGGGTGGGCAGCCTGACCCCGGCACAGCGGTACCGCCTCAAGGCCAAGTACGCCGCGGCCACGGGCGGCCCCCCGCCCACCCCGCTGCCCAGCGTGGAGCAGGTGGCCTCAGGTGGGCACAGCGGCACGCCCGGGGGTTACCCCGCGCCCGCCGGGCCTCGCTGCGTCGCCAACGGCTTCTTGAGAAGGAACAGCTCCAACGAGAGCCCCGGTTACCCGGGCAGCGTGCCCGCTCACATGGTGCCCCGACACGGCGTGCGACGGGCGAGTGACCCCGCCCGGACGGTGGCCAAGCCTCCGGCCGTGCCCAGAGTGCAGAGGTTTAAGAGCGTGGGCAATGTGAGTGTGCCGGGCGCGGGCAGGACGGTGCTGCAGCCTCTGGGTGGCTCTGAGGCCAACCTGCAGCGCCACGGCTTCTCCCCACGCCCCCCCAGCATCACTGAGAACGTCTTCATGGAGAGCATGGGGGGCCCTGGCCCCGATTCCGGCCTGCTGGACATGGAGCAGTACCTGAGTTATCCTGAGGAAGGCTTCCCGTGCCAGGGCACTGGCGTGGAGCTCCAGGGTGGCATCTACGGCGCTCACCGGACCATGGTGGGGACTCATGGGGACATGGAGGAGGGGCTGCTGCAGCAGCCTGAGTTCTCCCTCCCGCAGTGCCAGGTGAACCAGCGCTTCCCCAGTTTGCCTGCTGGGAACAATGGGGCTGTGCCAGAGCCCTGGGATGGACCCCCCCAGGCCACGCTCGGGATGAGCTCCAGACAAAGTGTGGGTGCTCCCACCATGTCTGGGCCGCACTGTCCTCATCAAAACATCGAGTACCCCCATCCCAGCGCCTGTGGGCAGCATCCCAGACTGGTGAGCTCATGCCAGGACCAAGAATTTTCGGGGGGGCATCGTTTTAACCGGCTCCAGATCAAATCTGAGCAGCGATACCCAGCGCCGAGCCCAGCACTCACTCCCTGCCCCAGCACCAAGCTGGCCGGGCCCTCAGCATCCCCCGTTGCCTTTGGGCACAGCATGGACGTGGGGCAGGCTGGGTACCCCCCTGTGGGGCCCACCCCGGGTGGGTACATGGGCATGGCCAGCCCAGGTGCCCGCAGAGCCCAGACCCCCACCCTGCAGACCAAAGAGGTGATGGTCCGGAACTACGTGGAGGCGCAGCAGGCGCTGCTGTGGGGGGAGCAGCAGCCCCTGTGCAAGGGCAGCGTGGCCGGCGCGGGGCTGGGCAGCGAGCCCGGGCAGTGCCAGGCCGTGCCAGCCCCACCACCGTACCTCAGCCCCAGGTACTGCAGTTACCAACCCAAAGGGGATCATCTGCAGAGCCTGGCGGAGCCCCAGCACCTCCTGAGCCCGCCCTGCTTCAACCCCGAGATGATCCCACACCCTCCAAGCGGCCCCAAGCCAGCGGCTCACCTGAGCTACCCGAACAGCCTGGCACAGCCTGGGCACGGCTACGAGGGGGTGGACAGCGGTGCCCGGCGCCTGCCACGCCTGCCCCCCGCCCGCCCCGTGCCCGAGGGAGCCGGGAACCTCCCCCTGTACTACCCAGGGCAGGGGGGCAAAGGTGGGCACAAGCTGCTGGGGCAGGGGGCAGCGAGCTGCGGGGGGAGCGGGCACTACGGCCCGGAGGGACTCAAGGGCACCTCCTGTTACTACCTGGACTCTGGGGAGCAGGTGGCCAACAGCCTGGACTCGCTGGACCTGGAGAACACGCACCTTGACTTTGCTGCCATTGTGGAGGACGTGGAGACCCCCCCGGCGCTGCCCAGACCCCCCAGCCCGGCCGGGGGGCTCCTGGTGCCCTCACATGGGGGTGCCAACATGGCAGTGGGGGACATGAGCTCCATGCTGAGCACGCTGGCAGGGGAGAGCCACTTCCTCAACTCGCTGTCCTAACGGGGGGTACCTGCCCTCAGGTCCCAGCGTGGTGGGCAGGGCTGGGAATCCTCCTCAGAGCCGCGTTTGTGCCTGGGGGGAAGCGGGGATCACCCCCCCTTGGAGTCACCCCCGTTCGGGAGGGGCCCAGGACACAGCCCCAGCTCTCCAGGTCACCTCTGGCGTGGGGAACTGGTTTTACTGGGCGCTTGTTGGGGTGTCCCCGCTCGGGATGAACCCCTCCTGCCCCCCCCCACGCAGCCTTAACGCCGAAACCAAAGAGCCCCCGCCCCGAGGGCCGTCCCAGTGCTCCCAGTGCCCCCCGCCCCAAATCCCAGTCTGGCAGGACTGCAAGCGCCCCCAGCCCCTCTCCAGCGGGGCAATTCCCCAGAGGTGGGGCGGGGGGGTGCCTGTACATAGTGTTCATACCTGTCTGTCTGTCTGTCTGTCACCCTGAACCTCCTTTCTGTGAGAGCACCAGCAGTGCCACCCCCTCCCCTCATTAAACCCTTTCTCAGGGGACTGAGACCGTGTCTTTGTCGCCTCTGCCAGGGGCTCCCTGATCTCGTCCTTGGTCCCCTGTGACCAAAACCGCCCGGCAGCAGCTTCAGCACCCTCGGGCAGGGATCCCGAGACCCACATTGCAATTAGCGCTTCAGATAATGCAAACGGCTCAAAATAATGCTGTTAATTAGGCAAAAAAATGGGTTGAAATAATTCAATTTTCCTGCGAAAAATTTAGCTAAGATAACGTAATTAGTAATGGGGGAAAACAGTTAAAATAATGCGATTTCATATTATTTTGTTCGTGTAATTGATGGTGCGAAGATTGCATAAAATAACGCAATTAATTATGCCAAAATTCCATGAAATTATGCAATTTCGTATGATTTGCTATAACACAATAATGAAAAAAAGTGCTTAAAATAACGCAATTCACGATGCAAAAAAATACTTAAAATGCAATGATGCAGCATTTGCTTGAAATAAGGCAATTATGTGTGCAAGATTTGTTTAAATAACGCAATTGTGCATCATTTGCTCTAAAGAATTCAACCAGTGGTGCAAAAAATGCTGAAAATAATGAAATACTGCAAAAATTTGCTTAAAATAACAAAACTAATAACCAAATCTTTCATTAACGCGATTTTGCATAATTTCGCTGAACTCAATTAACAATGCAAAAAAAAACCCTTCACGCAATTATAGAAATCAGGGTGTTTCCCCGCGCACCCAGAGCCTTGTCACGCTGTAATTAACCCGTAATTAACACGCAATTAACGCGGAATTAACCGGCGGCAGCGATCGGGCCGGGCTGGTGGCGCCCTCTGGCGGTCCCGGTAAGGAACGAGCGCGGCCGTGCCCGGCCCGGTCCTGCGATGCCCCGGGAGCACCGGGCGGAGATTCCGTGGGTCTGGAGCGGGATAACGGGCGTGTCCCTCGGTCCTCTGCAAATCGCGGGGTCGCGGGAAGCAGCGGGACCCCCGAGGAGTCAGAGTTCAGGGGTTGAGGCTCCTTCCCCGAGGCGGTGACACCACAGGGGACAACGCTTGGGTGCCACCACCAACCCTGGTATAATCAGTGCTTGTTGCAGTGATGGGAGGGGAGGTGAGACCCCCCCAGAATTGCAGTCATGGCATGGAGAGGGGCCCTGGGGACACAGATCCCCCCTCAGCCGGGCACTATTTCCTTTCTGTCCCACTCCTCATGACAGTGACACCACAGGGAACGGTGCTTCAATGTCACTGGAGTCACCAATCCCGGGATAACCGGTGCTTGTTGCAGTGATGGGAGGGGAGGTGAGACCCCCAGAGTGGCAGTTGTGACATGGAGAGGAGCTCTGGGACAGATTAAACACCGGGGACACAGATTTCCCCCTCAGCCAGGCGCTGCTTCCCTTTCTGTCCCCATGGCAGTGACACCACAGGGGACAGCAGAGCCGCCAACCCCGGTGCAGCCAGTGCTTGTTGCAGTGACAGGAGGGGAGGTGAGACCCCCAGAGTGGCAGTTGTGACATCGAGAGGGGCCCTGGGGACACAGATCCCCCCTCAGCCGGGCGCTGCTTCCTTTCTGTCCCACTCCTCATGGCAGTGACACCACAGGGGACAGCGCTTGGATGTCACCGGACCCGCCACCCCCCGGGGACATCAGTGCCAGCTGTGGTGCCAGGAGGGAGAAGCCGGGACCCCCTCGGCCTCAGGGCAGCGTGGGGAACACCCGATTTTAAATACAGGTGGGGTTGTGGTTGGGAGAGTAATAAATAGGCGATAAATAGCGATAAATAGTGGGGGGACAAGGCACAGGGACACACTGCAAAGGCACAGGGACACACGGCAAAGGCACAGGGACACCCCACGGCGTTGTCCCGTGGTGCTGACAGCAGCAATAGCAACTGGGGCACTCCCAGCCCCCCTGCTCTGCTCCGTGCCCCACCCAGGACTCAGCAGGGTCTGGCAAACCCCTCCCGTGGGCTCGGGGCCGTCGCAGCCGCTCCTCTCTGTCACTTCCCCGCTCGCTCCTTGTGCGATTCTGTCACCACTTGCTGCAAGAGGAGAATTTGGGGATCAGTCCCATGGCAGGGTTGGGCCTCCCAGGCAGGGCACCCCCAGTTCTCACCTGCCCATCCCGTGTCTCGATGGTTTTGATCAGCACCATCCTCCGGGCCGGGCTCTCTGCAGGCTGAGGCTCCAGCACTGGGCACAGAGGGGCCATGAGGACCCTGTGCCCTCCCAGACAGCCTGGGCAGGAGCACAGGGACCCACCCTCAAGGAAAGACCCCCAGACATAGTGGGGGACCCTCAGCTTGTGGCTCACCTGAGCTCCTCATGCTGAAGGAGGTGGTGGGGTGCAGTGGGATGGTGATCCTGGGGGGGAGAGGAGGATGAGGAGGGGCTGGGACTCCTGGACATTGCCAGGGACCCTTCCACACTCTCCAGTCTGTGACCCACACCCCAGATCAGCTGTGCCCGTGGGCTGCCAGGCCGGGGGCTGTGCCCGTGGGCTGGCACCCGGAGCAGAGCTGGAGGCAGCTCCCCCACCATCCCCTGGCCTTGCTTTTATCTCAGCTCCCATGGGAACCTCTTGTTTTCCTGTGGGAACAAGGCCTGGAGCTGCCTCCCTCCGGGAAAATCCCACAAAAACCGGGATGAGTCACCACAGGGGACATCCCCGCGGGCAATGGGGACACTCCGCTGCCCTCACCGGCTCTCCTCGCCCTCCAGCAGCTTTCTGTACGTGGCAATCTCAATGTCCAGGGCCATCTTGACGTTCAGCAGGTCCTGATACTCGCGCAGGTGCCGTGCCATCTCCTCCTTCATCTGCTGGATCTCCTGCTCCAGCCTCCCCACCACATCCTGGTAGTTCCCGATCTCCTCCCCGAACTCGTCCTCCATCTCCCGCATCTGCCGCTGCAGCGCCTCGTTCTGCAGGGACAGAAAGGGCTGCAAAGGGCCGGGCTGGGCTCTGCTTTTTGCACGCCCCCGAACGCTGCCCGGCTCTCACCACGCCCTTCAGCCCGTCCACCTCGCACGTCAGGCTCTGGATCTGCCGCCGGGACTCGTTCATCTCCTGCTTGGCCAGGCGCAGCGCCTCGTGGTTGCGGTTTGCTGCATCCGAGAGGTCGGCAAACTGCACGGGCAGGGCGAGTCAGGGCTCTCTGGGAGGGCTCAGCCGTTCCTAAATCCCTCCCCAGCCCCGGGTACCTTTGATTTGTACCATTCCTCGGCTTCCTGCAGGTTTTTGACCGCGATGCTCTCGTACTGGGTGCGGATCTCCCGCAGCGCTGCCGTCAGCTCCGGTTTGCACATCTCCACCTCGGGCAGCCCCGCCGGGCTCGGGCCGCTCACCTCCAGGTCCCGCAGCTCCTGCAGGGGCACGGGGGCATCACAAGGACCTGATCTGTGCCCCCCCTGCCCGTCCCATCCCACCCCGGCCCCACCTCCTCGTGCAGTTTCTTGAGGAAGCCGATCTCGTCCATCAGCAGCTCCACCTTGCGCTCCAGCTCCAGGCGGGACAGCGTGGCGTGGTCCACGTCCTGTGGGAGAGGTTGGGATGAGCTGCAGGGCAGCGTGGAGGGGATGAGATGATCCCGGATCCCCACCCCGGGGTGGTGATGGTGGTGATGGGCACGGGGCTCAGCCCCCCAAAGCCTGGTTTTGCACAGGGCTGACCCAGCATCACCCCAAGGAGAAACCCAGGAGCTGAGGAGGGAGGTGTGGAGGGACCCAACTGGGGCTACCAGAGTGCTCAGCCCTGGGGGGTCCCATCCTGCCCAAACCCACGGAGGGTGAGCAATGACACAATGGCACAGCCCCCCCAAACCCCATTTGTGCCCTGGCTCACGCAGGGCTGACCCAGCATCACCCCAAACTCCAGCTGGAGACACCAGGAGCTGAGGAAGGAGGTGTGGAGGGACCAGACTGGGGCTACCAGTGTGCTCAGTCCGAGGGTCCCATCCTGCCCAAACCCACAGAGGGACTGAGCAATAACGAGGTGGGCACAGACTCAGCCCCTCCCAAACTCTGGTTTTGCCCTGGCTCGTGCAGGGCTGACCCAGCATCACCCCAAAACCCAGGAGCTGAAGATGGAGCTGTGGAGGGACCAGGCTGCGGTGCTCAGCTCTGGGGGTCCCACCCTGGCCCCCCGGCACTGATCGGTGCCATTCGTGCACCAGCACCTCCCGCGGGCCCAGAATTGGGGTTCCCCAGGGTTATTCCTGTCCCCACCATTCCCAGTCCCCTCCACCCACGGATCACTGGTTACTGCAGGGGCAGACGAGCCCGCCAGCCCCCTCACCTTGCGGAACAGCACCAGGCTCTTCTCGGCATCCTCACGCTTCTGCGTCTCGTCCTCCAGCCTGGGGACAGCGAGGGATGAGGGGGAGGTGGGCACGGGGGTGCAGACCCCTCCTCCTGTTGCGCACACAGCGGAGGCGAACGGGGATGGAGCGGCCCCCAGCGCTCGCAGCAATCCCCGCCCAGTGTCCCCACCCTTGTCCTGCCCCTCCCAGTGTCCCCACCCTT